AAATACTTCCAAACTCATTCTATGAGGTAAGCATTACCCTCATATCAAAACTGGAAAAAGGACACGATTAAAAAAGAAAACTACAGACCAATGTCACTAATGAACATAGATGCAGAAAGCCTCAGCAAAATACCAGTGAACCAATTCCAACACCACATTAAATAGATCATTCACCATGATCAAGTGGGACTCATCACAGGGACACAAGGATGGTTCAACATATGCAAAACAATAAATGTGGTACATCACATCAACACCAAAACTATATGATCATTTCAATTAACACAGAAAAAGCATTTGATAAAATTCAAATGAGTTTGAGAAATTCATGACAAAAACTTTCAAAAATTAGGTAAAGAGGGAATATACCTCAACACAATAAAGACCATGTATGGCAAACCCACACCCAATATCATACTGAAAGGACAAAAATTGAAGGCTTTTCCTTTAAGATTTGGAGCAAGAGAAGGATGTCCACTTTCCCCACTCTTATTCAACATAGTACTAGAAGTTCTAGCCAGAACTATAAGGCAAGAGAAAGCAATAAAGGGCATACCAATTGGAAAAGGAGTCAAACTATCCCTATTTGCCAGTGACATGATCATATCTATAGAAAACCCTAAAGACTCCACCAAAAAAACTGACCACTAACAAATGAATTCAGTGAAATTGCAGGACACGAAATCAACATACAAAAATCAAAAGCATTTCTATACACCAATAACAAAATATTTTGAAAATAAATCAAGAAGGCAAGCCCATTTACAATAGCTGCCAAAAAATGAAATACCTAGGAATAAATTTAACAAAGGCAGCAAAAGATCTCTACAATGAAAGCTATCAAACGTTGCTGAAACAAATTGAGGAAGACAGAAATAAATGGAAAAATGCCCCATGTTCTTGGGTTGGAAGAATTAAGATCATCAAAATGTCTATACTATCTAAGGCAATCTACGTATTCAATGTAATCCCTGTCAAAATGCCAATAACATTCTTCACAGAAATGGAAAAAATTATCTTAAAATTTGTAACGAACCACAAAATATCCTTTTTAGCCAAAGGAATCTTGAACAAAAAGAACAAAGCTAGATGAATCACACTACCAGACTTCAAAATATATTATAAAGCAATAGTAAACAAAACAGTACAGTACTGGCATAAAAACAGAAACACAGACCAATGGAACAGGAGAGAGTGCCCCAAAGTAAACCCATGCATGGGTTTTTGACAAAACTTCCAAGAAAATACACTGTGGAAAGGACAGCCTGTTCAGTAAATGGTGCTGGGAAAAAATGGACATCCACATGCAGAAGACTGAAACTAGACCCCTGTCTCACAATACACAAACTTCAACTCAATGGATTAAAGACTTGAATTTAAGACTATGAAACTGCTAGAAGAAAACATAGGGTAAATGCTACATGAAATTGGACTTGGCAACACAGTTTTGTACAAGACTACAAGGCACAGGCAACAAAAGTGAAAATATATAAACGAGATTAAATCAAACTAAAAAGTAATTGCTCCATAAATACATTTTCCCTTCTTCTGCAGTACAGAGGACCATGTCAGCCACTTTGTTTACATCTCCTAGAATTTAATAAGGTGCTGGATTTGTGAGAGAAATGCAGTTCAGGCTGGCTTAACTGAACAGTAATAGCAGGAGAACACTGTAGAAGAAATAGCTATAATTAAAATTTATGAGAATTATCTAGCATTATCTTCAATATGCTCATTTTCTTCTTGAAATTAAGTAGCCTCTTTAAAAATTTTATTCTTTAAAGTCCTCTACATTTAGAAAATAATTTAAGTCACAATTATAAGATAGTACCAACATTAGAAAGGTAATCTATAAATAAATGTGGTCAGATATTGGGATGGGATAACATGAGCAGAGGCAAAAAGAGAAGAAACAATTCTCTTACAATAAATAATAAGTTAATTAAAAAAATACTTATATGCTCTGGTTCTTCCCTGCCCCTCAGATCCATTCTCTTTTCTTCTTTACTTGCTCTGTGACCCCAAAGGCCAATCTCAATATAGACTGTGATACCTGAGCTCCCTTGCTCTCCGGTTTCCATTTGGGTTTGGCCAGTAGGGAGCACAGGGAGGAAAGTGGAAGGAGGGAGAAGAGAGAAGTGGGGATATTTATCCCCTCGCTCTCTCCCTGACAGTGGCTGCATTCCTTTAAGGCAAGAGCTCGTGACTAACGAGGGTGAGAAACCACTGCTACCCCTGGATCTGCAGGGCAGAGGGAGGTGACATCACTGTAGGGCCTGGTGAGAGCTGCAGCTATGAGAGACTCAGGTGTAACAATGGTTTCTCACCATTGTTAGTCCATGGGTATCTTCGCATTAATTCTTGGTTCTTTGATGCCCATTCCATCTCAGTAAATAGTTTTCTCAGTTAAACTCTTTGAACTTGTTCTTTCTTTTCAGTACCCTGATCAATATAGAGTATTTAAATCTATATCAAAAAACGTACCTACTAAGAACTCTTCTACCACATGTCTGATATTTTCATTTTCAAAGGTCACTAAAAGCCTCTCTGAAATTTAAAAATGCAATTCAAATTAAATCAAAGAAAAAAAATACATATAAAAGTTGAAAAAATTGTTTCATTATAGAATATAAGGTAGCTGTGCTCAAATTACAACTGAGTTGGGTTTCAACCTGATTGTGAATTTGAAACTTGTAATGCTTTTCCCCAATAAATAAAATTGTAAAACTAGAATGGTTCCTTGGGCCAGCTGGGAAAAAAGCTTATGTAATTCACAGGATGCCTTAAACATAATCCTAATTATTTTATTTCTTAGAATACATCCTGCAATCTTTCAAAAAGCATTAATGAGATTATATCTATGGTTACCAGCCCAGGGCCTCACTGTGTAACTCCAGAGGATACTGTTCACATGGCATTCTATGTGAATAGTGTTCTGGCACATAGCTCCATAGAACACACTTCTACTTTTGACATTGTGCAGTATGGTGGCCCCACTGACATTTGGTGCCTTTTGACATTGTGCAACATGGTGACCCCATCTAAACACCAATAAGTTACTCTTGAGTGGTTCTTCCCCAAAGGTCTGAAGGAGAGGTTTACACAATTATGAAGGCAGAATAAGTAGTTTTGAGAACCAGTTAAGCCTCCATGTCTGTATACACCCCTGAGGTCCCTCTAGGTATGGATAGCAAAGGCACTGATATGCATGTCCACTATGTTCTGGGCACTGGGCACACATCAATAATAGTAGCTGCCACTTTCTGAATATCTTCAGTGTTCCGGGTACTGTGCTAGATGTTATTTCTAGTCTTCGCAACTATCAACATTACTACTGCTAATGGCTTAAACTTATGGGGTTCTTACTATGTGCTATACATTGTGCTAAATACTACACAGACATATCTTAATTGATAGATAGGTACTAATGCTATTTCCATTTTAAATATAAAAAACTGAAGGGCAGAGAGGTTAAGTAAACTGCTTCAGATCAAACACATGTAAGTTGCAGAGCCAAGATTCTCTAAGGATCTTTAAGGTTTGGACATTTTACCCAAGGTAAACTAAAACACTATGGAGCCACAATTCAAAACCATATTTGTCCACTAATCACTCCTTACATATTTTGAATTAAGGATCAAAGGGTATTTTTTCCATACTCCTTGATCCGTAATTTTTCTGTGTGCAAGAGCTGGATTCCAGGCAACTTATATTCATGATTAACTCATGAATGATAGCAAATTTGAAGGCATTTATATTAAATAATAACATACTAATACATAACAAGAGCTTATGTTCCTGTGAATTTAACATACCATATTACTATAACAATGTACAGTATGTTTAGCAGAAAACCAACATAAGAAAAATGGAAGATTCTAACTTAACACACTTTTTAAAAATGATATAGCCACCAGAGTACAAATCCAATGTGTAATTATAGTTTTCTCATAAGAATAACAAAGATGTTTTGGAACCATTAGACAGGAGAGAAATTTTGTCATTTAGCTGCAAACTGCCAAAAATAACTCATTCAAACTGATATCAAAACTTTATGAATAGTATTGATGACTTATATCAGCTAGCAATAAAAAAGGCAGTACAGTAAAGCCCATTCCTGAATTTTTATTTGGTTCCTTGTGTACAAACATGGGAAAAAAAGAATTAATGCAAAGATATTTTTATATATGCAAGCATTTAAAAGAAAAAACGGGTAAAGCGTCATGAAAACCGACAAAGTATATTGAGAGGTTAAAATTAAAAATTTTTTTAAATAAATAAATAAGAAAAAAGACTCAGTTATTTCTAATTAAATTTCACTTTAGTTTTGCGTAAAAAAATATCCTGTCCTACTTCAGAACTTGCTTTAATTTACTCTGTAGGTCTTTATGATGGGCTTAGGTTTTCTATCTGATAGTACGAATTTTAGGTTATTTATTAATTCCTCTATTGCATGTAACATACATGAGAGTAAGACAGTGCTAAGGGATCTCTGTTTCCAATATCATGTACCTCGCACATAGTAGGTGATAAACAGAATTTTGTTGAATGATAAAGATATTTTACTATTTTTTAAAGCACAAATCATTTTTTACATTTACCTCTTTTCCTATATATGTGGGTACACAGTTTTATTTCAATGCATATATACAATGTATGATGATCAAATCAGGGTAACTAGCATATTCACCATTACAAAACTTGATCATTTCTTTGTGATGAGGACATTCAATTTCCTCTCTTCTAGACATTTGATAATGTGTAGTAAATTATTGTTAGTTACAGATACCTAGCTTGTCTGTACACCAGTAGAACTTATTTTTCCTACAGAGCTGTTTTGTTTTCATTAACCAACCTCTCACTATCCCCCTCCCTTCCACTTTCCTGCCTCTAGTAACCACAGTTCTGCTCTCTCTTTCTGAAACAATTTACTACTCAGAAAGGGGAATTATCTTTGCTTATATTTCCCAGAAAACAGGAGATATTTGACAGGAACTTACATAGCTTGGTGGATAACTCGGGACTTTTCCAAAAGGTATTCAGAAATCTGTGCTCCCACTACAGTTCCAGAAGAGGTAAATTTCATTTCTAAGTATTTTCCAAATCGGCTGGAATTGTCATTGATATTAGTGCAGGCATTGCCAAAGGCTTCCACCAAATTGTTCACTTGTAAAATCTTCTCTTGCAGGACTCTGTTATTAGCCTAGAGAGAAAATTTCAAGGTATTTAAAAAAATGTGAAACAAATTTTTGGTATATAATAAAAAAGTCTCTTCTTTAATAAATTCTTTTGTAAACATAAATATATGACAGCATATTTTTGGTATGCTGCCAGATGTTGAAACCTGGTCTATTTTACCCCTACTATATATACATTCACTCACTTGCTTTCATAAAAAGGAGCGAAGAGCTATTCTATACTTTTCTATTCAAATATAGTCCTGTTCAGTGCCTGATTGACAAACACAATTTTTAAGCAGTCTGCACAAACTGAGGTACACCTCTTGTTTTGTTATTCCTCCTCTACCTGCCTGGGACCCCAGCCAAATCTTCCCAAAAGCCAGAATCACTTCTCTTACTTCCACAGAAGCTGCTAAACCTGCAAAAAAGAGAGTAAGATAATTCATGAATTCAAAAATAGGAGAAAGGAAATAATTGTGAAAATTGAGAACAGCTTGGAAGTGTGGATGGGAGTGGAACCCCAGTCAAGGCTAGTGGCCTATGTGGCTGTCCCTCTATTTTCTACTACCTCATCTCTTAGGCTCTTCCCCTTAAATAAGTGTTATGTTTTGTTTTTCCTCTTTACCACTTTACTTGAAATTCCACTGAGTAGAAATTTATCTTGGGCTAACAGGCAACCACTTTCAGAAATGCATTCCTCAACCACCCTCCTTAGAGGATTACAGAGGTGTCAGTCATTCCCATCTTGGCAGAAATTAGCTAAAGTATCTTATTTTCAGTGTAATACCTTAATATCTCCCTGAGATCACCTCTAGTAAAGGAATAGAAAATTTATAAGTTGAGGGAGAGGAGCAGTAGCTATTTCTGGAACATAAGCTATATTAGCATTCAAGTGAGCTGGAGGGGGCATTCACAGTCAGGTTTTGAGGCTGTATAAGAACTTTAGTATCTTTTAAAAGAGGCAATAAGAGGTGACAGAAAAGAGTAGTAAATAGTGGGACAAACTTGGCTTTTAAAATGTTTTTTGGGGCTGGCTTTGCACTCATGAAAAAGATGAGATAACGTTATCATCCACCTGTATTAAGTAGCAGTGACCTGCTAAGTAAGGTTTGAAGGACTGTATATTCCAAAGGCAAATTCTATCCACCAAACCTCCCATTTTAGCATCTTGTAAATTTTTATCAAATAGACAAGTAAAAAACAAGATAAGACCTGATAAGGATAGGATTCTGGATAGATAGATCCCCAATTAACATTAATTCACATTTTTACATCTAGAAGGAGATAAAGAGATTAGATTAACAAGTTTGCTGACATCTACAAACCTCATTCACACAGTTAGTTGATTATTGAGGAGAACTTCTATTGGCCTACAAATCAAGTCAGAATAGCAAAGGCCCTTGCATAAGGCCCTTGAGTAAATTAATTCAGTTGTTAGCTCTTCTATGCCAGGATAGTATGCTATGCCTCACTGCCCCCACTCCATATTATATTTTATTTCACCATCCTTACCACCTTTTAGAATAATACTTATCCTAGAAGTAAAGAGAGGGGAGTTGACAGGCAAGGGGATGAAGAAGGAACAGAGAAGAGAGCCCTGAGGCAGCACCACCTTCCTGGGCTCTGCTGGCTCATTCAGTCCTGAGGGGCCATAGGTCTGGTGAGTAGAGGTTATATTTATCCACTGAGCAAAGCACATTTATTTTTATTAGCTCCCACATATAAGTGAGAACATGTCTTTCTTTTTGCAGTGCTACTGACAATAGCCAAGAGTTGGAACCAGCCTAAATGCCCATCATTAGATGAGTGGATAGGGAAAATGTAGTATATCTACACAACGGAATAGTACTCTGCTATAAAAAATAATGAAGTACTGCCATTCACAGCAACATGGATGGACTTAGAGAAAATTATATTAAATGAAATAAGCCAGGCACAGTCAATGTGGAACATGGAATTCTTTCTACTCATAATTTTGAAAATGTATTAGGAGCAATGTCAGCAAAATGGACAACTAGAAGCTCCTAATGTTCTTCTCCCCACAACCCCTCAAAAACCAAAACAACAAATAAACAACTACATTTCAAACAAAATAATGAAAGAAGAGCACTAGAGAACAACAAAACAGCAGCAAAAACTCAGTAGAGCACAAAAACCCAACATGGTCACAGACAGAAAAGAAGGAAACACCTTGCTTCCACCACCACATCTCCCCAGTTAGGATCAGTTTGGAACCAGGAAGGACTTCTTCCTGCAGGGAAGAGGTAAGCAAGAGGATGCCAAGCCACCTCCATCACCATCACTGACATCTATAGTCTTTGCTACTGTAGACTCCTCCATTCCTCACAGCCTCTGAGCCCAGCTGGAGAGCTCCCTGGAGTTCACAGGCTTACCTACCCCAGTCAGCCTGCGCTCTGTCTCCCCCTGGCTCCCCCTGTGGCCTGTGCTACTACTGTTCTGCACCATCTGGGAACTGGAGCCACTGCTAGAGTGTGTCCTGATCCTGGGGCAAGTGGCCATTGCACCCCTCCATGCCTGAGGCTTAGCCACCTCTGCATCATGCCCATCTGGTAGCATACCATCCCTGAGCAGACCTGCTGATATGCCCAACCCTCCAAGGCCAAGTTACTGCAGAGCCACTCCACCCTCCCATCCCAATCACTGGTGTGCCATCCCTTAGGGACAAACTGAACTGATGCCCTGCCCCCAGGGACCTGGAGCTTCAGAGCCTGGAACTACTGCAGCAGTTGCATCCCCAGCCTCAGAGCAGAGGCATTGTCATCCCCCACCCCCCCAGGGGGAATTCAGGCCTCCTGCACACAGAACAGTTGTGTCCCCTGGTGCAAAAGGAGAGGCAGCGCCCTGCCCTCCAGGAACCTCATGCCTCTGGCATACCCACTGGAGGAGTTGCACTTCCCAGCAGTACAGCTGATGTGGAGCTCCAGCCCCAACAATCCAGAGACTCTGCTGACCTTTGTAGCCATGCTGTATGGGGCCAAGCAAATGTGATACCTCGAGTCCCTGGGAATCAGACACTTGGCTGAGCTGTGCAACCCCATCCTCCAGGTCAAACTGCCATAGTGCCCTGTCTACCTGGAACGGGACTAGCCCCCCACAGTCTTAGCTGCTGAGTCACTCTGCCTCCCTGGGGAGCGGAGTCATTGCTGCACTGTTCCCCGCCCCCTGGGACCCAAGCCATAGTGGCATCTTGCCATTCCTGGGTCATTGCTGCTGCAGCACCTGGCCTCACAGAGCCTGGGCTACTGCCATGTCCCACCATCCCAGGATCCAGAGTTACCACTGCATGGTTATCTCATTCCCTGGAGCTCAAGCTGCCACTGTGCCCTGTTGGTTCCCTGATCCCCAGGGCTTGAGCCTCTAGAGCACCCCTTCTTCCCTAGAGCCATACCAATGCTGTGCCTGTGGTGTGCTCAGAACAACAGACCCCAGCTTAGTGGGAGAACTGCATACACTCATACCTTGGAGAGTGAACCTGCACCTCATGTCCAGGTGCTATGTAGTTTTGCAAGACCCTGAACCCAGGAACCTCGCTCCACAGCCACTTTGAGTACCTGTGCTCTGTACCCCACTGCCATTGTGGCTGCCTATGAGCTGTGTCAGATCCAACACCGAGAGAGATCCCCTCAGCTAAGACTGACGTCTGTGAGGAAAACAATAACAGGAGGATCCTAAAGCCCTTGCCTTAATAACCTAGGCAGCCACCATCACTGCCACAAATTCCTGCAGCTTAGACCAGAAGCACCCAAGTCATTGCCAACATTTATCTCAATTGAAAAAGCTGCACAGAGACTACACCACTGTGGCCACACTGGGTCCAGAACCACTACACCCTGCCCAACTTGCACCCTCACACCCATCTGCAGGTGAGAAAGTCTTTCCCTACAAAAGCCACTCTGTGGGGCCGGCCCGGTGGCGCACTGGATAGTGCGCCACTTGGGAAGCGCGGTGGCGCTCCCGCCCGAGGGTTC